ACAAGTTTTTTTCACCTAATCAAGTAAGGAGGGTATGGACGTTCGCTGGTGAAATGGCGGGGAGGCTGGGCGCAGTCAGGTTCAAGTCAGATCACACGGACACGACGATCATCGTGGGCTACGCCCCCGTTGAGCCGCCAGGCGGACGGGGCCGCGCGGCGGCCATCAAGTCTTGCGTGCAGTTCTGGGACACGCTGAAGGCGCTGTTATCTGAACTACCTGCGAGGACGGTGCCCATCATTTTGTTGGACGCCAACGCGAGAGTAGGGTCTGTGCTGAGTGATTCAGTGGGGTCGTTCAATATTGATCGGGAAAATACGAATGGAAGTTTCTTTCGTGAGACACTGGAGGAGCATCATCTGTGCGCTGTGAACACGTTCTTTGAGTGCTCTCCGACGTACTACCATGGCGACGGTGTGTCGACAGCCAGAGTGGATTACATTTGCAGTACGAAGGACGTCGGAGGACATGCAGTATCATGTAGAGTCTGGGAACAGACAGGATCGGCACTTCAGCTCATCAACACTCGAGGGCGACGAGATCACTACCCTGTGGTCGCAGTATTACAAGTGGGGCCCTTTTTTCCTGAAGAACATGATCAGATCAGATGGGATCACAATAAGTTGGGTAGAGCTGTTCTATTTGGAGAAGAACGACAGGAGTTTCTAGTGGACGTGAATCGTGCCGTGAGCGACGTAGCATTCCGTTCGGACACATTGGCGAGGCAGAGTTCTGATTCTTTGTATCTGGAATTTCACAATGCGGTGATGCCAGTTGCTCAGAAATACTTCGAGAAGCAGACAAAAAAGGCTGAAAGGCCGAAGGATACATCTGAGGCGCTTGCCACACGCATCAGGCTGAGAGCCGAGCTGAGGTCTCTGAGTGATTATGTCCTCCCTCTTTTTCCCTTCCCCCTGCCCTCTGTCCCGTCCCTTGATGTTCTCGCCTTTCTCCCCCTCACTGCATGTGGCGTGATCGTTTGCACATGCTCGTCTTTTTATTCTGCATTACATGATGTGAGTGTTCATGCCAAGCACCGCGTGCTGTGTAGGAAAGCGGATCGCTGCGTTAGACACCTCACGCGACGTGACAGAAACCGTGCCATTGGGTTGCGGGTGTCTGAGTTGGAGGACTCTTGGGACGAACGTAGCTTTGCAATCGCCTGGGAATTAACACGGAGGCTGAGCGGTAAGTCGCTGGGTCCGAAGCTGCGCTTGTTCTCCACCCCCCGAGTGTTGTTAGACTGTAATGCTTGGTCTCAGTACCTGTCTCAGCAAGGGGGAGAAGGAGGCTTCGCTGCCTGTGCTCCCAATTATAATGAGGAGTTAGATGCGAGGCTGACCCGTGACCCCAGTGAGGAAGATATGAGTACTGCCTGTGCTGCCACGAAAGAGGTGTTCGGCAAGATTTCTGGGTTTTTCAGGCGTGTTAAATTGCGCCGTACACCTCCGTCGCGGTCGTTCCCTGCCGGTGTGTGGCGCATGTTGTTTTGGCCCAGGGAGTTTAAAGCGAAGAGACGTGCTGGCCTAGGACTTGAGGCTGAAAACGAGAGTTGGGATTTTCTAGCTATTAGGAACTGTCTATTTATGATCATTGCTGCCGTCCATTTACATGTAGAGGCTCCGCTCATCTGGCACAGTAGTCAGGCGTTCACCTTAAGTAAGGCTAACGGCAAAAAGGACTGCGCGGGGCTCCGACTGGTGCACTCTTTGGACCCATTTGGCAAGGCGTTCTACAAGTATCTCTGGAGAGCTAACTATGGATTAACTATTGCGGCATCTAGGAACTACGCGTACGGCTACCTGAAGCATAGGAGGAGGGAGGGGGCTATACTAGTACAGAGCCTTGTACAAGAACGGTTGCGTGAAGCAGGGCACAGCTACTGCACTGAGTTCTATGATGCGACGAATGCGTTCCACAGCGTGTCCCATGACATGCTGATGATGTTTATCCGCCTGAACGCGGACGAGTTCGCCACCGCCCTTTTTGCGCAGCGGCTGCAGCACGGACACGTTAGCCTGGCATGTGTAGATGGCATTCTGGAAATGGGTATTGGGTCGGGGACGCTTCCAGGAGATTATATTGCTTGTCTTTGGTTCCTGGGCCCTTATCACTGGTCTGTGGATGGAATTGTTTCCCCCGAGTGTCCTGGGCTTAGCGTGACGATCCCCTGGCTTAAGCACTGCCTGGCCGACGATGTGTCCGATCGCGTGCGCTTGTGCTCTTGGTCGCAGCAGCCGATCGAGATCTCTTTAACGTCGTTCGCCGACGATCTTGCTAGGACTCAGCTTGTGCGTTCGCTCGAGGGCTTGATCCGCATTAACAACACCAATACTGAACATTTAAAAGACAGACTAAGTATCGTGAACGTGCAGGCGAATTCAGGCAAGCAGGAGCGCCTGGTGTATCTTGGGGGAAAGGGTGCCCAAGCAGCACGTCGCCGTCTGTTCGGAGGGAGGTATATTGCTGAATCTGGGATATGGAGGTTGAGGAGTGGGGAGATTATCGCTGGAAAAGTTGCTCGCTCTTGTAGATACCTGGGGCCTTATTTGCAGGCCGATGGCAGTTCTGTGGCAGAGATCCCTCGGCGTGCACAGAAAGCTCGACAGGGATACCAGTTGCTGCAGGGTTTTTGGCAGAAGTGCACGAACAAGCGTTGGAAAAGTATCGTTTTTAGATCCGTTGTGGAGGGTGCTTTGGTTTCTGGTCTTGCCCCTCTTGCGCTTCTGGCAGACAGCATCAATAGGATCGATGGTGCGCAAGCATCCATGGCGAGAAGGCTTCTGAAAGGAAAGGCTAGTGGTAAAGAGCAGCAGGAGGGGGAGGAGGTGCAATATCATGCCATGACGAACAAACAAGTCCTGTCTGAGCTTAGAATGGTTCCAGCCTCGCTCGCTCTTAGAGTGCAAAGACTTAAGTGGTGGCAAGAGGTCTCACGCAGACCGCTCTGTAACTTGCAACTTATGGGGGCTATGTTCGGAGAGAGCTATTGGGAGGATGAGGAGTTTAAGAGTCTTGATCGTGAAGGATTTCGCACAGGCCCGATCCGTTCTTGGTGGGCGCAGTTTTTAGAGGATGTTGCTGAGCTGTTCCGTGTGTGCGAGTGCACGCAGTACATTCAACCTGTGCTGGAGCGACCAGTAGCTGTTTTTTTTGTGATGAAGAAGTGCGAGGTGCTTTCCTTGCTGCCGACCCTCGCGCCTTGGTCAGTGAATACCTAGGTAAACAGATACCTCCTCCCGTGTCCCTTGGGTCCCTTTCCTCCCCCGCCCCCCCCCCCCCTGCCCCTCCTCCGCCTCCCCCCCCTCCGCCTGGGTTCGTCCGTGGGATTAGCCTAGGGGTGGGTGGGGGTATCTGTAGCGCTGAATACCCCACGAGGCGACAATTACGTCTTCATCAAGCTAACTCTCAACTACCTAATCATGGATACCGCGAACTTGCTAGAGTGGTTACTGTTTCGAATTCTTGTATTTTATGTGGAAATATGTATAGTACTAAGAGGATTGCGAGTGAACACCTGCTCAAAAGCCTTACTAACAGGGTGTGCCCGAAGTCCCGTGGGTCCTCCACCGTGTTTACGCATGTGGTTCCGCCTCCTTACGAATGCCAGCTCTGTGAAGTCTCTTTCAGCAGCTATTCGGAGGCTCAGTGGCATCTCAGACAGCATCTACCCCTGGAAGATCAGACCCTCGAACTTTAGCGCGGCCGACACCTCTCGGGCCTCCTGGAATTGCCTGTGGGGTGTCGCTGCCGTCGTCGTCGCTCGTTGTTGGCGTCGTCGGCGTTCTCTGTTCTTGTTCCCCTTTTGTTTCCCCCGTGTCGTCGTTGTCGTCGTCGTTGTTGTCGTCGTGGTCGCCGTGTCGCTCCCTCCCGCCGCCTTCGTTGTCGCCGTTTTGTTGCCCCAGCGACGCTCCTCGGGAATTCCTGGGGGGTCGGTGGTGTCGTTAGTGCACTCATGGCGGCTCAGTGGGGCGCCATCTTCGGCCAGGTGGGTGCGGCAGCTCCTGCTGCTGAAGAAGGTGCTGCGGGAGTTCGTGCCAGCAAACGTCTTGGTATCACAGATGGAAGTATGGACAAGAAAGTAGACACGGCGCTCAAGCTGGGTGTCATCAATGCTCAGAGGAATCGTTTGCTCGAGGCGGCCTGCACGACCCAGTTCATGCTCAAAGTTGCTGATCCTATCTTCACTGCCATGAAGGATGCCCATGACAAGGAGTATGTTCCACGTGTAAAAGGAAAGAAGGGGCACGGTTTAGGAGCCCCCGACAGTTTCATGTTCACAGGTGTCGTCGTGACTCTGATGCCGCGTGCCAGCTCTGAGCAGCAGACAGTGCTTCGCAAGTTTTTAGACGACAATGTGCCTGGCAGTATTTCTGCACAGTTGCTTATCAAGCTTTTTCGTACAGAAAAAATGTTTGATTCTAAAGTGCGCAGGCTGATGATTGCTATCAATGATCCCGCTCTCGAGGCCACTATCGTGCAGCTTCTGATTTCTGCGAAAGAGGAGACGTCTGTCTTTGCAGGCCCGCGCCCCGCTGGCTACCTTGAGCTGGAGGGGCAGGGGATGATTGCCAAGTGATTCGTTTCCAGACGCAGCGGCTCTGGAAGTCTTCGGCCGTGCGCCGACGCATGCCGAGAGGCAGCGTCGCTGGCGCCCTCCAGTTGTGGAGAGCCGAGGACCAGGTATGAGGGGGGAACCCCGTTTAATCTCCCAAGATCGTTGGAGCGTCGGTCTCAGCGGAGCCTTACCTTACCTTACCTCCTCCTCCTCCTCCTCCTCCTCCTCCTCCTCCTCCTCCTCCTCCTCCTCCTCCTCCTCCTCCTCCCCCCTCTGCGGAGTTCTCCGTCGACTTCGGAAAACGGCGGAGCGCTTCCCAAAACAGCAGAGACCACGCCAACACAGCCTGAAATGTCATCTGCCGCCGCTGACGACGACGGCGATCGCGCGAGCGGTCCGTTCGGCTCTATCAGTCGAGAGCTGTCTTTGAATAGCCACGAAGGCCGGTGGACTTGGGCGGCTACTACATGCCGGACCCGTTCTTGGCGTCGCAG